TTTCGAGCTAGTGAGCTGTAAAGTGGGTGTCTTGCACTCGTAGAGAGCGAAGTTAGCGAGATTGTGAATCGCTGAGATTTATAGCTTGTATTATAAAGTTGGTAAGTTTAAAGTGACGAGAAACGTACTGATTGTGGAACTTTCTGTGTACTAAAAGTTTGTATCGAGAAAGAATAAACTGGTTTAATAAAGAAAGGACTTGTATCACTGAAGATCCTCGGTAAGAATTTCTACCGGAAACCACTTCATATAACGTTGATTATGAAAACAACCTGTTTCGTTGTGTCAATACGTACTTTTATTCATCTATTACAACGATGTATTTTCTTACAATACGTTTTTGGTTGGTTTTAGTAAAAGAAAATTGTAACTGGAGTATTGAAAAAGGATTTTGTTTTGTCTACATTTTAGTTAATGGTGAATCCATTACAATGATCCCACGTGACTATAGCATCAGGTTTTGCATTAAATGAAATGTGTTTTCTGTATATAAAAAAAAAAGTTCTTTACATACCAAATACGACATTTTTTAAAAATCATTTTCCACTTTTTTTTAACCCAAAAACTTTAACGTACTGAACTCTTTTTCTCATACATTTAAAACAGAGCAACGGAATTGTTGAGCATCTGCTTGTTTGTTTCCTGGAAAGATGTTGGACGAAAGTCATACACTATTATCAAGATATTGACACAACGAAACAGGTTGTTTTCATAATCAACGTTATATGAAATCCTGGAAAGATGTTGGACGAAAGTCATACACTATTATCAAGACACATGATAGTGTGTCGTGCGGCCAAAACAACTTGCTGCAGGACAAAGTGTGTGTTATTGACAGAAGTGGTAATTTAATGATTTTCCATCTTCTGTGTCTCGCTCGGACTATGGTAATTAAAAACCATTAAATATTTTCAGTGGATGTGCTCAACTGGACTCTTACTTTCAAGACAATCTATTACTAAATACCCGAGATATAACATCTCCAATTTTGATTGAGTTTCTCCCTTTTTCTTCCTTCACACCAAAAGTACAGAAACTTTATTTGATAGAAAAACATATTTAACTTTTATGGATTTCTTTCAAATTTAGTACACTGATAGATCTTTTGAACCTACAATCATGAGTCTCATTTGGTGCAAATATAAGTCATAAGTGCAAAGTTATTCAACAAAAATCACTCAAATGTGACTAAGATTTTTGCGCACCCCTACACAAAACATCACGTGAGCTATTATCGGTCTAACATTTTTACTACAGATTCACCTAAGAGTATAGGTGGACAGTTTTTAGTTTTTGTCATTTGGATTAAAAACGGCTGATTTAGAGCAGCAAAACTATAAGGTGAAAGAACGTGCAGATACATAAGTATTGGTTTCGCCAAGCAAACTAGATTAGCAGTTTCTAGTTAGGTTTTCAAAGGAATCATACAGGTGGACAGTTATTATTGATTATTCATTGCCAACTTTTCAGCACAAATTCACTAAATTTTATGAAACTATTCTAATTAGAAACGTTTGGCGTCTCGTGATATTAGTTTAAGCAATTAGCATAAATAATGATGCTTGATACGGCTGTACCGCTTGCTTGGGGGTGATGACAAGAAACTGTTAACCTAGATTCCATGGCGTTACTATAAAGGAAGCTATTATCAGTACCACCATATATTTTAAAGAATCTGGTTGGTTCTGTAAAATAAAGGTATGTTCCAAATAATAGGGTTGCGATCCTAAAGCTAATGTTGGTTACTATTGAGTGTCACTTTCTTACTTGCTGTGGTTTGTTGGTGTGTATTGATAAAAAGTCATGATATCTAATCAAAAACGCCATAGGTGTGAAAAAAAGGTGCAGCCAAAAATGGTAAAACAAAATACGCAGCCTAGCTAACTAATGAATGAATATTTGCCGTAAAATTTTTATCAATGCTATAAATGTAGCTACCAGTTTGGCCGCTAATTTTGATTCCATTCCTTTAAGTCACACACTCAATCCTTTTTTGGCTGCACCTTTTTATCACACCTAAGGTGTTTTTGGTTAGATAAATATATAGCTAGATGTAACAAGACCTAACCAGTCCTAAGAAAAAAAATTAAACTTGTAACAACAAAAATAGAATATGTATAAATAAATATAAATGATGTTAAAAAAAATAAACTTCTAGCTTACTGTTTGAAAACTGCCAAAGACTATTACAGAGGATCAATGTATATGTCATTGTATTATTTTATACTACTTTTGTTATATAGTATGTTTCAAACTTTCTGTATTGAGCTTAGTTTACGTTCAGTTACCGCCAAAGAAAAAAAATGTTAATCTGTGTCTGCTCTTTGGGGCATGGGCGCGTTAGAAAAATGAGAGTCAGATCCCAATACTTGGTGTGACAAGAGTAGCCCAAGAACTGGGGGTGAGTGGGATTGACATTCTTGTAGTCTTATCACCTCGAGATTATGGACGGTTACCCCCCGTGTAGCTTTGTGCGCAACTGGACAAAACAAAATACTTCGTCTCTTATCTTCTTCCTTTTTTAAATGTGCAGGCCCTTTTTTTCCAGCTCGTCATGGATTTCATTAACACGACCTATTTTGAACGTTTTGACGAAGAGCCTGGGAAGCAAACTGTCACCATTATCTTCTCCATGATAGTGTCCATCTTCTGTATAGGCGGCATGGTGGGTGCTTTAGGCACGGCTTACGCTGCTGAGAAGTTTGGACGAAAGGGAGGACTACTTCTGAACAACATCTTCGTCTTTATTGCGGCAGGTCTTATGGGATTCTCTAAGATGGCTCGATCTTACGAAATGATGATAATGGGTCGCTTCTTCATCGGTTTGAACTCAGGTTAGTTAGTGATATTTTGATCTCTCTGTTCGTGATATTAGTGCAAGGTAGCTGTTTGCAAGCAGCTTTACCAAATGACGTCACATTAACGGTGGTGGAAGCAGCTTTACCAAATGACGTCACATTAACGGTGGTGGAAGCAGCTTTACCAAATGACGTCACATTAACGGTGATGAAAGCAGCTTTACCAAATGACGTCACATTAACGGTGGTGAAAGCAGCTTTACCAAATGACGTCACATAATGGTGGTGAAAGCAGCTTTACCAAATGACGTCACATAAACGGTGGTGAAAGCAGCTTTACCAAATGACGTCACATTAACGGTGGTGATAGCAGCTTTACCAAATGACGTCACATTAACGGTGGTGAAAGCAGCTTTACCAAATGACGTCACATAATGGTGGTGAAAGCAGCTTTACCAAATGACGTCACATAATGGTGGTGAAAGCAGCTTTACCAAATGACGTCACATAATGGTGGTGAAAGCAGCTTTACCAAATGACGCCACATAATGGTGGTGAAAGCAGCTTTACCAGATGATGCCACATAATGGTGGTGAAAGTAGCTTTACCAAATGACGCCACATAATGGTGGCGAATCGTTCTTTTTTCCTAATTCAGGTTTTATCAGTTTTATCTCTTAAGAATACGGATACATTTTTTAAATATTTTACCTTTCTGTTTTCCCCTGTTATCAAATGAAGTGTTTAATATATATTCGAGAAGAAAACCTCGAAAACGCTGGACTCTTCCCACACTTTAAGTGAAAAGAACTTGAAAGCTCTAAATACTTATGACCATTTTCAGAGGTATTTCGAGAGCGAAGTTAACTATACATGTAGATGTGTTTATCATCACAAGATATATCTAAGAGTTAAGATGTGATTGTTATCAAAAGTAGCAGTAATTATTCAGAATATTACATTAATTTATATTATTCTCTTCGTATGTTTATTCATGATAAAAAGTTGGTATATTCACCCATCTTTCATCCTAGGTTTGAATGCTGGTTTGGCTCCCATGTATTTAACTGAAGTTTCACCAATTCACCTGCGAGGAGCAGTTGGAACAATCTATCAGTTAGTAATTACTATCTCTATCTTAGTGTCCCAGGTATTGGGTTTACCACAAGCTTTGGGAACAGAGGAACATTGGCCTTACGTTTTCGGTAAGTTCTAATATGTCTCTCTACCTCTATCTTAGTGTCCCAGGTATTGGGTTTACCACAAGCTTTGGGAACAGAGGAACATTGGCCTTACGTTTTCGGTAAGTTCTAATATGTCTCTCTACCTCTATCTTAGTGTCCCAGTATTGGGTTTACCACCTACCTTAGGAACAGAGGAACATTGGCTTAACGTTTTCGGTAAGTTCTAATATGCCTCTCTGCCTCTATCTTAGTGTCCCAGGTATTGGGTTTACCACAAACCTTAGGAACAGAGGAACACTGGCCTAACGTTTTCGGTAAGTTCTAATATGCCTCTCTGCCTCTATCTTAGTGTCCCAGGTATTGGGTTTACCACAAGTTTTGGGAACAGAGAAACATTGGCCTTACGTTTTCGGTAAGTTTTAATATGCTAGTCTATCCTAATTTTATATATTCTGGGCTTACCAACAACTTAAAGAACAAATGAATCATGACATTGTGTACTTTCGGTAAGGTTCTGGTGATCGGATATCAAGCACTGTCTTGGTTAGTATGCTATACCATCACCCATATGTAATTATTAATTAACAATTTTATTATTATTGTTGACTTGATACCATTTACTTACTAGTAAGTTAGCTAAAATAAATAATCGCTTATCCTTTCTTCATAAACATAGGCATCACGACATCATAATGGAATACCTAAAAAACCTAACTGTAAATTACCTATCAACACTGCACGATGTCGAATAATAATAACTCGGTAAAGTCCAAGATAGGATCAAATATCACAATATAAATAAACACAAGATACAGAATAACAGATATAATAGACAGCGTGTACTCTACTAACACACGTACTAAAGAAATACACCTAAATAAATTAAATTCACTTATCGGATCTCTAAACAAGAGCCCGGCATGGCCAGGTGGTTAGGGCGCTCGACTCGCAATCTGAGGATCGCGGGTTCGAATCCCCGTCACACCAAACATGCTCGCCCTTTCAGCTGTGGGGGCGTTATAATGTGACGATCGATCCCACTATTCGTTGGTAAAAGAGTAGCCCAAGAGTTGGCGGTGGGTGGTGATGACTAGCTGCCTTCCCTCTAGTCTTACACTGCCAAATTAGGGACGGCTAGCGCAGATAGCCCTCGTGTAGCTTTGCGCGAAATTCAAAAAACAAACAAACAAACTCTAAACAAGAAGTCACTCAACGTTACAGACACCCCTAAATACACCTGGTGCTTTATTAGATACCGCGAAGAAACTTGTACAAGTCATTTCTAATCGACAATATCCGTTTACAGGTGAAATATTTCCCAGGTTAGTCATTCTGCGTTAGTTAATATATTTATGGTCGGATTTTTTTTACCTTCCCTAGTTGCTTTGAGGTATGACGCATCTTGTCCAAACCAATGTTTGTTTGTTTGTTTAGAAGTTTCACGCATACTTACACAAGGGCTATTTGCGCATAGCTTTCCTACTTTTGAAGTGAAATACTTAAGGAAAGCCAACTAGTCAACAACGCCCACCGCCAACTCTTTGGTTACTTTTGTCTGACCGAATAGTGGGATTTGAACTGAGCGTCACTCTTATAACACACCACGGCACCAAAGTGTGGAGCGTATTTCTGTGACTTCAGGAAGCGAATCATGAATCCTTAGGTTCTCACCACTAAGGTCACACTGTGTCCGTGTTTCCCGAAACAACTCTTACACTGAGGTTATAAAGTACTGTGATAACGAGATTAAAAAACATGGAAGTGAAAATAAGGGCCAATATATTTTTGTTTATTCGATCTAAAGTAGTGTTAAGCCTTTTAATTTTTTAAACCCGTGAACAAATTGATAAGTGGAATAAAACAAAATAACTCTATCTGTGGGGCTTTTATCACGGTATTTGGAACTGTTTCCAAGAAGATAAACAGCCTCAGTTAGGGAACAAACCAAGTATTTTGAAAAGTACAAAAACTTTGTATTCTGCCCCATAAGTTTCGATCAAATTATAAAAAACAAAACTACTTCATAATCAACAATGTGAAAAATTAAATATACATAATCAACAATGTGAAAAATTAAATATACATAATCAACAATGTGAAAAATTAAATATACATAATCAACAATGCGAAAAATTAAATATACATAATCAACAATTTGAAAATTAATATACATAATCAACAATGTGAAAAACTAAATATACATAATCAACAATGTGAAAA